ACGCTGACATGACAAAGATGGGGCACTGGGCAGCTGGGGCAGCGCAATGCTCGAACCTTATAGCGACAAACCCACGTCATCGGGCTCGCTCCTTGTCAATGAAACCGCATTGTCAGAAGTCACGCTCAAGTGGGCCGAGCAGGGATACCAAGTCAACATTCATGCCATAGGGGACCTTGCGAACAGGCTCGCCGTTGACGCTTTTGAGGCTGCCTTGAAAAAGGTGTGCCCCGATGTTACTCCCTACGAATGCCAATCACAACGTCGTTTCCGGATTGAACATTTCCAAATCATCCACCCGGATGATCAGGTCCGAGTTAAAGAGCTTGGTATCATCCCCTCTATACAACCTACACACGCAACCTCAGACATGGAGTATGCGGAAACTAGGCTTGGCCGCCAGCGTACAAGCGACTCTGCATATCGTATGCGTTCAATGGTATCTCAGGGGCTGGTTCTAGGCAGTGATTTTCCGGTTGAGCCTGCCAGCATCTTTGAGGGTATATACGCGGCCACCACGCGACGGAGCCCAAGAACAGGTCTAGATGCGGACGGCGGCAAGACTGGTTGGTATCCTGAAGAAAGACTCAATTTCGAACAAGCACTGAAGGGTTTTACCGTTAACCCTGCATACGCCGCATTTCTAGAAGGCAAAGCTGGTGTCATCAAAGTGGGGGCGTACGCCGACTGGATTGTTGTCGACGAGGACTTGGAGAGAATGGATTTTGAATCATTACGGAAGGCAACAGTAAGGGAAACGTGGGTTGGCGGGAAACTGGTCTACCAAAGGCCCAGCGACGGACAAGTTCCCCATTAAATGCACCAAAAAACAACACCCGCCCGCGAATCTCTCCACCCCCACGTCTCGAATGACATGCTCGGGTTGTCCCGACGTATCAAATTGCTTGGTGTTTCTGGCGGCTCTGGCGGCTCTTATGATCTCCCACGTAACGATCGCCTTTACTTCTGTTCTAGACCAACTCTAGAAGCAAGCAGTGGTATCTGATTTGCTTTCACGTAGGTATCGGAGCTGCAGAATGCAATATTTCCCCGCTTTCAAGGTCAAACTCTGCAACCCTGCTGCAAACACTTATGTTCAATGCACAATAAACCCCACGTATTCGTATTTTATCGCCGAATTCCCTTGGTCTAACCTGAAACTCTCACATGACCAGCATGGTGCTCATGTATGCTTGACCAACCAGCGCCACTAGATTGATGCTTATTATTTTGACCAAGTGGTTTACACCGGAAAGAGTTTGCTAGCTTTCACCCACGCACCCCACGCGCCTCACTCTTGAAACTTGATGCCTAATGGTGGATCGCGATAACTTGGATACATAAGACATTTGCTATTTTGACCGCTGCTGCAATTTTGACTCCTATCTTACACATTACCAATAAAAGGATACCAAGAAAGCACCTTGTTGAACATTCAATATGACGACCACTCAACTTCCCTCAACTACCAATGTATCCAAGCCAACGCCCTTGGCCAAGACACTCATAGTTACCCCACCTGTCACTCCAAATGGAACGAGCGCAGCAGCACACCAGCTAGTAGCTGAGATAAGAGATATTCACTCCAGGCTCAGTGAGCTGTCGTCATTAGCGCCCTCACACTCAGTCAACACCCTCTTGACACGTCTGGTAAATCTATGTGTGGTGCCTTATAGCGCCGAATTCACCACCTACTTCTTCAACATAGCGGGTGTAGAGCAGCTCTGTGACAAGTTACGTCCAATATGTTCCGAGGCCGAGGGCGAGCTAGAAAAGTTCCACGCAGAGCGAATGTTAAGAGAACTGGGTATGTCACCATCATGCAAAACTTTCCCCTAGAGAGAAAAGAAAATACTAATATCTCCGCAAAGACACTAGCCAAGAAGCGGCCTCGACTGCCATCCTCCAATCATTCCCTTACTACGACAACTACGTTGACCTCTCCCGCCTGGAAGCCTCCCTCATCAACGCCTTCGCCTCCTCCCCACCAACCTCCATTGCCTTCATCGGCTCAGGCCCTCTACCTCTGACATCCCTATGCTTTCTATCCCAATATCCCACCGCACACATTCACAACATCGACCGTGACGACACTGCCCTGCGTCTCAGCGCCGCTCTATGCACTAAACTTGGGTTCTCGAAACGCATGAGTTTTACGAACGAAGATATCACACAGGAAGATCCTGGGGCCGAGGTTTCATGGACGAAGTCACAAGTTGTGTTCTTGGCTGCGCTCGTGGGAACTGATACGCGATCTAAGTTGGAGATTCTGAGGGATTTGGCTGCGAGGTTACAGCCGGGATGTTTGGTTGTGGCGAGGAGCGCGAGGGGGATGAGGAGTGTGCTTTATCCCGTAAGTTATCGTCACCCTTTTCTTTTTGGACATATGGAAGGATGTCCCTTTGCAATCAACAATGCGCGCAAAACAATTGTTCTGGATATCTATTCGCTGACTGGGCCGAAATTAGATCCTACAACTCTCAGAGGACTTGCAAGCGATTGGACTGGAAATGCTGGCTGAGCTGCACCCGTGGACGAATGTTGTAAATTCTGCTATTATACTTCGTGTAAGGGAGAGGTAAATGCGGCCAAGTACTGACTACGGAGATGGAATGTACACAAAGAGTTCACCAAATCCAGAACACACTCTTCGCAAGCTCGAGGATTCTATCGCGCAGAACCTTGGTATCTCCTTTGGGTTTAGTCGCCCCCCGTTGGGGATCTTAAAGAAACGTTCAAACGACAACAACGATATGTGCTGTACTACAGACACACCTTGAAGACGGCTGATGGGTTGGCGAATGTGATTGATATATGCAACGAGTCCCACCAAGCCAAAATATCACCCCACAGAACTATGGCCGCTTTGAATGTCTGCTCTGACCGTTTGGTTGCTGCATTCGTTTTGTAATTCACCGATCGGTTGGAACATACAGCTACTAACCTTACAGTCTATTTACCCTCACGCGATATTTCGAAACATGTATGCTGCTGCCTTGCTAGTCACGAGTTGTTCGGCGGGATGGACCGGAGAGAGTGGTATTACGGACGCCTTACATCGGCCAACCGACTTGCCGAACACGACGTTCAAAGTGGTTCAAAACCCCAGCATCTGTCCCCAAAATCAGAAATATCCCACCATTCGATAAGATATAATTCAGTTGCCCTCTAAAACTCAGTTCCCAAGATAAAAATCACTTAGTTATGGAGTCGCACGAAAACAAACCGGACCCAAGTCTCAACCCCCAAAATCATCCTCCATCCTCCTACAATCTCGACAACAACAGCTCTAAAACCTGCATTCTCCCCGACGGACGCAAGCTAGGATACGCAGAATACGGCTCGCCAACCGGCCACGCAATTCTCTACCAACACGGCTTGCCCGGCTCCCGTCTCGAAGCCTCCTCCTACCACGACCTCGCCATCACCCTCAACGCCAGGATCATCGCCATCGACCGACCCGGCATAGGTCTCAGCTCCGCCCACACATCCCGGACCCTTCTCTCCTGGCCCAAAGACGTCGAAAACCTGACCCAGCACCTCGGCTTAACGTCGTACTCCGTACTGGGCGTATCGGGCGGCGGCCCCTACGCCCTCGCCTGCGCCTTCGCCCTCCCCGCCACCCACCTAAAATGCGTCTCTGTAATCTGCGGCCTGGGACCCCCGGACATGAGTATGTGGAAAGCCGACATGGTACACTGGATTAGTTTCCCCTACGGCTGGCGCTTCGCCCCGGAGTTTTTACTAGAAATGTTCTTCAGGCTCGATGTTTTTGGTCGCATGGAGCTGAGTGATGAGGACAAGCTCGAGAAGATGATGCAGCCTGAGCGTCTTGCTTCGATTGAGAATACAAAGAATCGACGCATTCTGAGTGATGAGGCGTTTTTGAAAGTGGCGCTTAGGGCGGGTCGCGAGTCGCAGAGGCAGGGATTCGGGGGTGTGGCGCTGGATGGGAGGGTGGTGTGTCGGGGGTGGGGATTCAAGATTGAAGATATTAGAAGGGAGTTACCGGTTAAGCTGTGGTATGGCAAAGATGATGTTTTTATTCCGCCGAATATTGGGATTGAGACTGCAGCGAGGCGGGAGGGTGCTGGGGGGAAGGTTGTGTTGAGGTTGGAGGAGGATGATACGCATTATAGTATTTCGCAGGATTGGAAGAAGGAGCAGCTTGAGGCTATTCTTGTGGAGATGCGGGAGTGAATTTGATTTGATATCCGGAAGGTTACGGGTTTTTTTCCCACTCAGTTCAAATGTTGTATTTGTAATATTTTTTGGTACTGATGTGAAAGCAATGGTGTTTTGAATACAATATAGTAAATCAAATTAGACAGTCTCATGCTCTTTGCCAGTATATTGCCTACCCACCGAATGTTCCTTTTCCATAAAAAAAAATATTGGTGACTGCATATAGGGCTAATCGTAACCTTGGTGTGCACGAGCACAAATCAGAATAGACCAGGTCCATAAGCTTTCCTGTAGTATCACATCCACGGGATACCATCACCCAAACAAGCGGATGCAATATGAGAATTGTATGGAAGATAATCCAAAATAAGCCCTTTCACTATGGGACAACAGTTGATCTCTTACGGTTGAAAATGGTAAAGTATTAACATTACTCTATGATTACAGTATACGGTAAGGAACTGCAGTATCAGAACAGGTATAATTACATAAGCGAGAAGATGACGAAGCCCGCAAAGACAGTCACATAAAACAAAAGCATCCCATTACCCTTAAGCCTGGTATCCCCCGACAAGTCTGGCCGGCATTCTCGCACAAGTCCCGTCACATTCGGCCAGTTTTGGTCTGGAAATTGAGTCTCTTGGAGCATAAGTTCAGCAACCTGATCGGCAAGCGTGTTGTTCAGTGGAATAGCACAGGAATTTGTGGGTTGCATTCCAAGTGCCAGGATGGGATACGGCCCTGTGGAGCTGATTATCTCTTTCTCTATGCGCATAGAGGCGACTGGGGTGGCACATGGACCCACATTGGTAAGATCAGGTACGTATATCACCGTTTTCAGGGTCCAGGCCGAATTTGACAAAGCCATGAGAGATGACACTGGGGTCGGGATCAGGTGAAATCTCGCCAGTGGATTCGTTGCAGGATTTTCTGATACCGAAAGTATAGCGCATAAGTAGTTTTCGGGATGTGGTATTGAGGATTTGAATGACTAGATCAATGATGAGGTGCGCGTCTTGGGGCGGAGCCGACTTATTGAGGGCTGAAACCCCAGTGACCCAATCTCCGTTTGCGATAATAATGTCCATATTTTGATCTCTGTCAAGTGCGATGATGTCCCAGCTCCAATGAAGACTGTACGGCCACGCCACAGAGCCATTGGTGAGGCCGAACACGACGGGAAAGGGGTATACAGGCTTGTAAATGGTGTCGTTTCTTGGAAAAACAAGATCGAATTGAACAGTGCCCGGCAGGTCAGCAGCATAGACGAAGGCCGATGCGCCAAAGAGGCACAGTAACGCGCTTGTATCATGTAGGAATCTCATGCTCGAGTAGGGGGTGGATTGCCAATTGGAAGAAACTGGACTCTTGAAGAGCGAATTCGATTTGAAACATGCGCAGGCATTTAGTCTTATAGAACGAAGTGACCTAGACGCGCCAGTTCAACTGCACCGCAGAGAGAACGATTTGAAGGGCTGTGCAATCTCCCGAAGTGATTTATCTGGGCGCATGTGACTTATTACCTGCCATATAGAGCCTATATGCGAGCCACGGGTTCGCGGGCGAGGATTGCCTAGAAATGATGGAGCTTTCCCGCATGGTATTGCAGTTGTGTTGGGATAGGTGACGATACGAAATGGGGTTTTGTTGGTGAAATCTTGGCGCCGTGAGCAACTTGCCCGATCAAGCCAGTTGCCATACAACGCACCGGATGCATGGAGCTCGTTACAGTTGAACAATGCACTTCAATAATAATCATTACGCCAAAGCGGAGTCTAAACCCATGTCCATAGCAATGCCATCACCACACTCCCCCCTCCTTGATGAGTACCTCTATGCTAAACAATATCAATTATCGATGATAGACGCTCCCTTCAGAAAAATGACAAAACGACTGGAAAAAAGAAACGCTAAAGGAGGGACAAGAGGGTATACCCGAGGCAAATAACGCCAACGACGAATGATGTAGTGAAAAGAAAGGGGACGAGAGGGCGAGAGTGCTGTGAAAACCAAGGATGTCCTGACCGAATGGTCTTATAACCAAGAGACTGTCATGCTGGCGATTCGATGTAGCGTCTGGAAGAAGAAAATAAGGAATGATGCTTAGGAGCCCCGGTAAGGTCGTTATTCCTGCAACTGATGCGTAGGACATGCTCCTCGGCCCTTTTTGTTCCACCACTCTTTGATGCATGACTGCCCTTTGTTAGTAACCATTCTCCACCCTGTATCTAATATCCAATAAAAGAACATACCTCATGAAATTTGCACCAACAAACCAACCTCGCCATGCGATCTCCCGCCTCAAAGTCTTCCAGACAAATCGTGCATTCTGCTTGCGCCCCCTCATCATCCACACAGTCCTTCTCAGTTGCAATATAGGGGAACATGCCGCGCGCAGCATGGCTCATTCTATTGCTAGACCCTTCGCCATTTCCCGCACTGCTCATACCACGGGTACGCTGAGTAGGCAGACTTGCAGATGTCTGTGGTGCAGGTATTGCCTTGGGACCAGGAGAAGCTGAATGTAAGGCGATACACTCTTCAATGTGTCGGGTACGGTCCGTCTCATCGCCATCAGGTCCCTTGGGGGGGAGCTCGTCCCCGCAAATAGGACATTCGTCTTCCTCAGCGATCTGACGTCGAGGCTGAGGTAGCTGTGCGTGATAAGGATGTAGCGGTTGGGGGATTGCAGTGGAAGTGGCTTGTCCAAACGGCGATCCTGCAAATGATGCGGCCCCAAAGGTTGACCGGTGACGAGGGCGGTTACTTGACAATGTCTGCGAAATGAGTGGCGCGCGATGGTGCGGATGTTGCTGTTGAGTGGCAGAGGGTGGGAGGGGAGGTAGTCTTCGCTCTCCGATGTTTGAGCTGCCATGGTAACTCACTCGCCTATTCTGGCTGTTGTCGATCGGAGCCTCGCGATTAACATAAGCATGTCCTGGATTCACAAACCGTGACGCATCATGCGCACTTGATGCAGATCGATGAGCGCGTGGGTGCGTTGGTGGGGCGTGGGGTGACCTGGGAGACGGGGCAAATTGCAATGGATATCTTGGGTCGCGGCCAGAGGGTTGATACTGCGGCGGTGGGCTAAAATTGGGATCAGGTACACATGGATTGCAAACGCGGACTTCCTCGCCTCCGCCTAGCGCTGGGTTGCGGAACGGGCCGAAAGCCGACATGGCATTCTCATCATCCCCGGTCAGATCAATGAAGTTTGCCGCCATTTCGGAAGGGGGATGGACGATGAACTGTCGGGGTATAGTGATACGATGTGGCGAACACGTGGCGCACACGACTCTTCCACACTTCCTGTCGGCAACCGTCAGCATGTGCTTTGTCAAAATTAGGTTTCCTCCTGCGATTTGCAAGCTTCTTGCCCATTCTGGCGTGGATGCCCAACTGGTCAAGACATGGACAGCGCTCCCAACAAAGAAGGGAGTAGTGAGCCTACCTGCAATGATGCCTCCTAAGAAGAAATGTAAAAGGTCTCTTGCACACCGGACACTGTGTAACATCGCTATCCGGCTGCCATGGTGGCAGGACGATATCGCTCTGCCTTCTGACCGGCGTAGTGTTGGCTTGTGGTGGGACGGGTGGTGTGGGTGGAAGCGCTCGCAAAGAGGCAGGCGGGGAATCCAGGACGATGGGGTCCATACTAGAGTTACCAGTGGTCTCAGAGTGCATCCGTATACTCGATGGCCGCCTCATAGGCGAGTCAGCTGTTGTCAGGCGTCGCTTGCGGTCAGAGCTGCGAGAGGACAGCGAGTCTGTACGCGGCGAGGGGCGGCTGGGGAGCGTGTATCGCATGGAAGAGGGGTTTGCGCGAGCTTCGTGGGCTGCAGCGGGGTCGAGCTCGCTGGAATGTGGTTGCTGGTTAACGTCGGTTTCGGTACCGTCTCTCAAAAAGTCCATCCACGTTTCGGGGTCTTGCGCCAGGAAGTGTGACGCCACAACTGCCTCTGAATGCTGTCGAGAGCCATTTCCCATGAGAATATCACGTTGTCCTTGTATATTGCTACTCGCGCCTTCACCATGACTCTCGTAGGCATGTGAGCTGCGAGCATGAGGTCCGCTCGGGCGCGGGGCAGCGTTCGGAGACATCTAAAGTGTATCTGGCCTGCGTGAGGAATCTAACGGCTGGTTGTAGAGGTGCAAAGAGCGTGAGTCCGGCGCCACAGCAACCCAAAGAGCCACTGCTCATGTGATTACAAAGTGGAGGGTTGGTGTCTACGTAGAGAAGGTCGGGCGGTATACGGCAATGTGCCGCCACTTTGTTCGTCTCCTTTACCTAGCTAGAACCGTGCTGAGGTAGCCGGTAGCAAGACTGCTCTCTCCCGTCAGCATCCCACCACACCTCCAAGCGTCGACATCTTCACTCACCTATCAATAGCAGAGGGTTGCGGTGAGGGAACAGGCGCGGAGGTGGGTCCTTGCGCGTCGGCTCGGCCAGGGGAACTTCAACCACTCGTCCTACACGGCGCATGTAGCGGCAACTGCTGCAGTCCAGATGAAGACGAAGCAGGAAGGGTAGCAAGGCTGGGTCGGGCTACGCGATATTCATAGCCACGAAAAGCAAAGAGCGTTTCGGCCGGGCGCACCACGCTGAGGGTGCTGCGTGAATGCCTCAGGCGCCACTCCTATCGTTATCTTAGCGGTTTCACGCGACACATGACGCCACACCTTAGCTTCATACGGAACAACTATCACCCGGGCAGCCCTGGCAGATCCTTAACGCCACAAGGTCGTTGCTGCTGCAGGTCATCTGCAAAGCATTTGTACGTGCAACATCGGCTTGAAAGATAAATTATTTTTGAATTACTATTGTGCATGCGGGCTCAACTAGCAGCTCTCCATGTCCTGTGTGTATGAATAAATGAAATGTCTAGATAGCTTTGTACTTGCATGTGCCACTGAAAAGCATACTGCTTACGCCCAACCAAGGCAAACGCCCCCCAACCCCGTTTTTTTTGAGCAATTATACAGCAAAGAGATTCGTAAATGCACGGTCTGCGTTGACATGTATTAAAAGTAGGTCAGAATTGATGCCACAAGTGCAAGTAAGGAATGTCCTAAAGAAGCGGCCGTCACATGTTGTGACTGCGCCTGCTGTGTTGCGTGCTACCGCTGCGACTGCGGTCAACAATTTCTGCCGAAGCTTCAAGATGGCTTCCAGCATCATAGCCGTCGGTCTGAACACTGTCTTTCATCATGTGATGTTGGACGTAGCCGGTGCTCAGAGGCCGCTCACCCGTGCCAATTGCTCCTGGCGCATTCAAGTCGCTGGCGCCGTCGTGACGATATATGCTCGATGCAGCAGAGGGCCCAGGAGTCCGTTCAGGTGATGGGTCGTTGGACCCGAAAGGAAGACGGATAGGTAACCCACCAGATTCACCTGGCATCAAGTGATGGCTCTGCTGGGAATGCTGGTATCTGGAACTGGCCGAATTTGAGACGTCCATTGCCGTTGGCAATTGTTCTTGGAGCAGCTCAGAGTCGGTTGACGCCACTCGCCGCGAGTTCTTGCGCGGTATTGTAGGCGTACGGCTTGGAGGCCCCGGTGGTTGTGTAATACGGGAAGATCGTGACCCAATTCTACTGGGAAGCTCAATTCCGCCAAAACTCTCAATGGGACCCAAAGCCGGCGCCGTGGGTGAGACACGATGCATCGGGTCGAACCGGTCGTCGTCGCTGCTATCCGATTCGCTGTCTGAAGAGTCGCGTCTGTTGCCGCTCAAGACGGCGGCTGATGCTACACCAGAGGTTACAGGTGCATTCTTCGGCTGAGGAGGCGATTCTGGACTGTCCCGATAGGGCTCTTGTGTGATTTCGGGTGAGGTTGTGTCTTCTTCAACAGTCATCATTTGGGGCGGAATCCGCGTGCTTCTGACGACTTCGAAACCTTTGCTCTTTTCCTTCTTACGCCCACCAAGAAGATTCAGGCTCTTGAACCAACCTGTAGCCGATGAAACAGGGCCCATAGGATCCGCCGGTCCAGTCTTCAACTTGCGCGTTGGTTGTGAGGACAAAGCAGGACCGCGAAGACCATAGTAAAAGTCCGATTCTCTTACGGAATAGTCCGTGGTAATGTTCCTTCTGTCAAGGTTAGAATCAGAGTCGTCCCGGTTCAGTCGAAGATATGCCGGAGCTGGAGTGCCGGAATTACGCGAAGGACCCTCGAAAGGCATGGTCGTGTCCGCATCAAATTGGTCCGAGTATGGAGCATCAGCAATGTCGGCGTTTCGGGCAGGAGCTTTCCCAGGTGCGGTCGCCGTTATCGAGTCCATAGTATGTTTTCTGGGTCGTGGAGGGCGGTAGTATGGATCGGCGGCATCCATTGCACCCATGGTAGGTCGCCTAGAGCTTTGGCCCGACCCACCACCCAGAAAGTTGAAAGGTACAGCGTTCTGCCCGGGGAACGGACTGGCGTTTCCAAAGTCACCCTGGCTGAATCCGTCAAAGCCTACGCTCGCGCGTTGGCTATCTCGGTCGTATGGCTGGTTCAGAAGAACAGCCGAACTGGCAGACATACTCCGGGATCGACTGCTCATGAGCTGGATGTTCTTGTTCTCATCATGGGCAAGCATGACGGCATTCGAGTTGAGACTGCTGCGAGCATGTCGATGAAGATTGCGCTTGGATAATTGTCGCTTTCCAAAGACTGCAGTAAGACCACCTCTCTGGTCCCCGCCTACGCCGGCAAGTCTTGCCGACACTTCGATGATGGTCTGAAGAGCATTCAGGAAGAAGCCGAATATCAAAACAATAGCATGAAGCAGCAAGATGATGTATCCGATCCAGCCTTTGGGTGCCTCATCAACGTCGAGAGAGGGTACGAATGCTACCGAAAGCAAAACACAAACAAGTCGAATTATTGAAAAGAAAGTGTGGTAGGCGTTCATCGACGTGTTCGATTGGAATGGCCGGAAGGCGTGCAGGGTCAAGATTAGTATAACTTCACATATCGCAAGTACGATGATTTGGGCGATGCCCGAGGGCTGGATAGCACCAATGGCAATGCCACGTACAATCGTCAACAACACAGGAATAAAGGCGAATGGTGCCGCATCGTCCGAGTAGGTGTTGTAAAGAGGGCCATATGTCAAGACGGTGGGTAGATCATCAAACAAGTGGGCTCGGGGGCGCGTGGTAAAGATGAACCAGAAGATCCATGTAACCACACCAGCGACAAGGAGGAGCATGATGACGGCGGTAACCACGACAGATGTCGGCGAGCGCGGTGCTACAACGAGCTGGAATAGCGACAACGCTATGATGGGAAGCAAAAAGTAGTTAAAAATGACGCGCACGATGTTGCCAGCAGTAAACGCCCAGTTCTTTCCAGTCAGATCACCGTCCTGAGTGTTTGTAAGCCAGCGCACAAGCCAGCGGACGAAGAATCCTAGTTGAGTAAGTGAGACTACACAGGCAATCAAGACAAGGAGGAAGATGGCCATGCAAGCCCATATGTCTTCGTCTTTTGTCATTCCCACATACTGGCCGAGACGAGTGAGACCGTAGGTGCCGTTGACGAAATATATGCCATCGATGAGACTCTGGGAGCCGCTGCCCTCGCTGACAAAGCTTTGGTTGAAGAGAAGAAGCGACCAGCTGGCCTGGCTGACGGCTGGCTGGAAGAAGCCTGGGTAGTTGAGGCTAAGACTGCCTGCAAGGACGATAAACTGGATGTACTGCAGACAATCCCCAAAACCTGGTGTGACTAAGCGCAAGAGATCTTCGTCTCGACCGTAGTTGCTCGTGGAGCGGAAGACGTTTGAGGTTCCCCAGGGACTGCACGTAGCGGCAAAGACGGTGGCGATACCAACCAGGGCGAGTATAGCGGCGGGGAAGTAGCAAAGGGAGTCTGCAAGCTTCTTGCCAAGGTCCGGTGTGATGTTGGCAGATATGCAGCCGAGCGGGGTGGCGTTGTCGTTTCCAGAGACAATGCGCATTGTCGAGGCCCATGTTGAGAATGCATACGAACTGCTGAAATCGCGGGCAACGGTGATGGCTGGTAAAGTCCAATACTGGCTGGCGTTTGCATTGAAAGCAGGCGCAATGGGACAGCTGGTGTTGAGAACGGACTGGCAAAAGCGGGCAGGGGGTGCGCTGTAAGCAGAGTAAGAAACGACCTTGTTGTTCCAGAAGAGGGTGGTGTAGTGTTTTTGGTTTTCGTTCAGGTCGACGAGTTTGCCAAATGTCTTGTTTGGGTCTTTCCAGTTGTCGTCGTCCAGCGGCGGGTATTCGCCAACCTGGGTTTGGCCAGAGACATTTCCGTAGACGGTAAAGTTCAATCGGTATTCGGGACTGAAGTCTGCCCAGACGTACTCGGGGGTGAAGCGAAGATATGGCGTCTGCTTGCCGTCGGCGAGGTAGATGCGTGTCAGACAGTCTCGGAAGTTTACAAATACGGCGCTGGCGAGGGGCAGGAAGGAGGCAAGAACGAGGACGAGAATAAGGGGCGACAAGGTGGTGACGGCGGGCACGAGGGACCGTCTGCATCTCCGTCTGGACCGGGGTGGCGTGTGTGTGGGCTGGATAGCAGGCACGTCGAGGTGGGTGGTGTCTTGTCGCCGTGGTGCGCCATTGCGCAGTGTGCTAACGTGCATCATGACGTCCCCCTCTTCATGTTCGCCTAGCCGTCTGATCCCCCGGGGCCAACGCGGACAAGGGAGTGGGCAGGAGGGCGGGCGGTTGGTGTCGGTGATGCGATTGTATGCGCTGGACGTCAAGGGCGCGGTCGAGAGGGCGGGCGTGGAGAGGCGCAGGTCTTGGGCGAGGGGAGAGTCGGAGAGGCAGGGCTGACAGGCTGCGAATTGGCGGCGGTGGTGGTGGTGAAAGCAAGCAAGGGAGCGGGCGAGGATGGCCTGGTGCGAGTGAAACAGGCGTCGGAGAAGGCTATGTCGATGAGCTGGCAGGGGCGACGGGCGCGGGGCGATCAGCAGCGGCAGCTGAGGCTAGCGCAAGGGCAGGGGCAAGGGAAAAAAGACAGCAACGGCGGGATAGCGAGTGTACGAAGAGAAAGGCGAGTTCAGGCGTGGGTGCTGGGCGGGAGCGGCCCAGGCGGTTGGGAGGGAGACGACTCCTGAAGCCAGTGTGTGGCAGTGGGGGTGCAGCAAGCACAGCGGACCACGGTCGCAGGGCGCTAGCTTCGTATAAGACGGTGGTGCAGCAACAGAGGCACTGCTTTGGGTTTGACTCGAGGCGCTCGAGGCCGCAGTGGAAATAGTCATGTCATGGTGGTGGTGCTTAAGGCTCCGCCGAGCAGGGCGGAATCCTCGTCTTAGCAGCCGTCTGCTATCACGACGACCAAGCCACTTGCAACGTCATAAACCGTCTTTTGCTCATGTCCCTCCAGACACGGCCCTGTGTGCGTCCATGTGTCCATGTACCTATGCAAGCACCTCGAGGCAGGAGACCGAGGGCCCATCGAGATTCATGACAGGCATGCCATGCGTGATTGGACCCTCGTGAGGACGCATGTTTATTTAGCAACTTCGGAAATACGGAACTGCGTCGCCCGCTTCTCCTTACTTACATTCGTCAGCTTCCTCGTGTCTCCATCTTGACCACCGACCGTTGATTACCCACCCGGCTCGTGCAGATACCTACTACTCATCTTGCTCCTCGTCAAACGCCTGTTGACACCGCTTACTCATGAACGCCATGATGCCCGTCTCATGCCGTCGTCCATCCTCGTCGGAACCGTGGCGCAGCCGTTCAACTAAATTTAGCGCCTCTGGGGCGATCGCTCGTTTCAAGGCCAGCTACGGCCAACTCTAACTCGCCAGACACACACACCAACCCTCCACCAACATCACTTGCATGCTGTGCATGTGCTCGACGGCATGCTTTTGCCTAAACCTAACCGCGGTGGTGTATCTGCCGCTCGGCACTCTCACTCTGTGTTTCGGCTTCAGCACCTGTGCTTGTGCTCTTACAAACACGCCGGCGCATGGCTGCTCTGTGAACAGCACGTGACTGTGTTCTGACATGCCTAGTGCTGGTACCTCGTTCGGTGACACCCACAACTCTGGTCCAACTAAGTCTACCCGCTGTTTGACCAGTACCTTGAGCGTGGAAATAGACGACCTGTCCTGACTTTGGCATCGTGCTAATGCACGCGCAAGGTTGCTTGCGGCAGAACCGATGTGGAGCGGCGATCCTAGCACGTGGAATGGCTTACTTTTCGCGTGTTTTGCATCTCAACCATGCCCATTACCTACGTGCTTTTCTCCATGTACCTGTGTATCTGCATGCAGACGACGTAGCACGTCATCTTGGCCAACTTGTTTGGCGCATCTCAAGCTATCGCCCTTATAGGCGCAACCAACATGTATCGCGTCTCCCTGCAGCTTGGCATTCCCTCGTGTTCCTGCAGCCAGGCCTTGCGTCCCCCTTCAAGCTCCATCCGGCAGGTCGTGATAGCCCGCCATGCAGCTCGTCATCGACTCCGCCCCTATCGTCCATACCATGGTTAATGAGGAAAAAGCCCACCGCCTGCCCGCTCTCCGGCCAAATTCAAGTCAAGCCAAGGCGTGGAAAGCTTCCTTGGCATACTGCAAATGAGGAAGGTGCCAGTCTTATAGTCCCACTTACTACCAACGGCCTTGCCAATCGCCCCGTCTTCCATTCGACATGCCGCTGTATATATTGCTTTACCGTGCCCAAAATGCTTCTGCGCTCTGACTTCTGTACCTGCAAAGTCGTAGACCTGTCAGGCCGAGAAACCAGTCATGGCCATGAAGACCGCTTTTCTGGCTGCTAGTCTCGTGTTGCAGTCCGCCCGGGCCATCGACGTTGAGTGTGTATAGCTTGATAAGCTCACGAGAGAGTACTGACATGGACAGGGGACTTCTTGCTGCTCCTCGTCGAAGCAATGGCATTCTCAGTCCCAAAGGCGTGCGTTATTCGATCAATATCAAAATCCTGTTGTACTGATGTAAAGTATAGGACCGAGCACTCTTCTCAGAGACCAAGTTCAATTGGACCACTGAAAAGGCTAGCACAGCTTGGTACTTCCTCGATACCCAGACTGGAGATGTCAAGAAAGCTCCATTTGGAAGCGCTGCTTCAGAGGTCGTCTGGGTTGGCGATAGTGACGACAGCATCCTCTACATCAACTCAACCAACGAGCAGATCCCTGGAGGCGTGACACTTTACACCGCCGATCTCAGCAAAGACAGCTTTGAGCCGACCCTGGTTGCATCTCTGCACGCTCCACTATCCGGCCTCAAGGCTGTAAAGACAGACTCCGGAATCAACTTCGTCGGCAACTGCCTTGCTTACGAACACAACGGCTCTGCGTACAACCCAGAGCTTGTCACCGCGCCCAAAACCTCTGGCCAACTGTACGATGCCAACTTTGTGCGCCACTGGAACTACTACATTACCGCCGAACGCGTTTCGGTCTTCAGCGGTGTCTTGAGCAATCTCAATGGCACGTACTCCTATGATGGAAAGCTTACCAATTTGCTCTCGGGCATGAACTACACAATTACCCGTCCGGAAAGCCCCGTTCAAGCCTCTTCGAGCGATCCTGGCGACTATGACCTATCTCCCAACGGCAAGCTGGTAGCATTCCGTACCAAGTCTCCGGACCTGCCCAAGGCAAACTACACCGCTAGCTACATTTACGTTGTCCCCTTTGATGGTTCCGAGGTTGCAGTCCCGGTCAACGGCCCAGGCACTACCGCTCCCGAAACCGCTCAAGGTGCATCTGGTGCCCCTGTATGGTCACATGACAGCAGCAAGCTGGCATACACCCAACAAGATGGAATCGACTACGAATCTGACAAGTACAAGCTGTACGTAGCAGAACTCGATGGCACCAACAGCAAAGTCCGCTCAGTCGCCGAGGACTGGGATTCCAGCCCTACAGGTCTCAAGTGGAGCCATGATGATGCTGATCTATGGGTTACATCGGAATTGCATGCCTCTGTCCGCCTGTGGCTAGTGCCCCAAGACGCACCGGCTGACTTCAAGCCAACCAACTTCACTGGTCCCGATACTTCGATTGCTGGATTTGGCATTCTTCCCGATGACAGTGCCTTTGTATCGGCATCAGCCAGTTGGACTAGCCGTATTTGGTACAAGCAACACCCCGGCCAGGACAAAGAGGTTCTTTTCACTGCCAATGAGGTCGACCCCGAACTCGAGGCCCTGAAGCCTGAATCTGTGTCAAACTTCTGGGTCACAAACGAAGATGGCGACAACATCCAGACATTTGTTTTCTATCCTACTGATTTCGATCCTTCCAAGAAGTACCCACTTGCTTTCATCATCCATGGAGGTCCACAATCTACCCAGGGTGACACCTGGAGGTACGTATAATATGCACAATCCATATATTTTGCACCCATACTAACAAACGAAAAGTACACGTTGGAACCTGAGAACGTGGGCTGATCAAGGCTTCATCGTGACCACCACTCAGTTCACCGGATCGCCATCTTACAGCCAGGCCTTCACAGACAAGGTAGGAAGCTCAAATCCTCCACTCAAAACAGCGCTAATCCGCCGTCTAGATCCAAGCAAACTGGGGTGGCAGCCCTTACAGAGACCTCGTTCAGGTCTTTGAGCACCTCCGCGACAACGTCGACTACGTTGATACGGACCGCGCCATTGCTGCCGGCGCTTCTTTCGGCTGCTACATGATCAATTGGATCCAGGGCCACGCCCTCGGTCGCGAATTCAAGGCCCTTGTCTGCCACGACGGCAAAATCAACCAAGTCGCCTCCTACGGCACAGACGAACTCTGGTTCATCCAGCGCGATAACAACGGCACCGTCTGGGAAAACCGCGAGAACTACGAGATGTGGGAGCCCCTTGCTCACTTCGCCAATGCCAGCACCCCTGAATTCGTTATCCACAACGATCTTGATTACCGCGTCCTCCAGGGAGAGGGTCTTCAAACTTTCAACATCCTCCAGAGTCTTGGTGTGCCCTCGCGCTTCTTGCATTTCCCGGATGAGGGTCACTGGGTTACCAACAGGCATAACAGTTTGTTGTGGCACAAGTCGATTTTCAACTGGATCCGGTACTGGGTTGGGCTTGATGAGGAGTTGTCTACCGACGGAGTTATCACGCAGTAATGATGTGGATGAGATATGCAGGTTATGATATAGTCAATGCTGATAATAGCTTACTGTAGCATGTAGTGCTAATGTAATTACACTGTTCAAAATGTGATCTTGAAACTTGGTCGTGATGTTCAGGTCAGATGTTCTTAGTCAAGAGAGTGGAAATCAAGTAACGTATAGTTATCATATAACTATACACATATGTATGTATAAAAGTCTACTCAGTTATCTAACAACACCAGATACATATCTACAAACAACAAACCCCCTACACAGCCTCTAAAGCCTCGCCCTCTCCATCCTCGCCTTAGGATGCCTCTCATCGATCCTCGGCAACTTGCCACTCCACGTAATCCCATTCCGCAGGAAAACCCTCCTCCAATCCGTGGGATTCAGCGGCGCCTGCGCCCACCTCATACACCTCTTGGCGGCGACTTTGGCCCTCTTATCCTGTGCAATGCCACTCGCAGCCGCAACCTTTGAGCCGCGCTCCGCGCCAAAATTACTGGGGATGGCCTGGCTAAACTCCT